ATCCAAGTGACTGGGATTATCAAGGAGCACCCATATGATGGGAGAACCCATCAACAGAAGGATTAGAGGGACTAGGTGGGGACGTGAGTCTACCAAATGACACTACCCGAGACATGCAAGGGCCCCGGGGGGGAGAGAAGCTGGCCCCCGCCCAGGAACCCACCCCATGCTGGAAGGACGGCACCCTGTCCCTGTTCCTAACCCCCCACCAAAATGTCAGTCTGGTACATGAGGACACTTAGTTCACTTCATCCTCAGCAGCAGCTGCCTGGGAGACACCTGCTTCTCACCTGGGCATCTATCTTTTCTAGGAGAGGTTAAGGAGTGACTTACCAGGAACATGTGGCATGATTAGAAATCAAGCGGAGGAGGGAAGCCAGGGTTGGATGCTTAGGAAGGGCCCAGACATCTCCACCCAGTGCCTGATGAGCAGGAAGAGGCCAGGCTGACAGCTTACACTTTTAGAGGCCAAGGCTCATGACTAAAGTTTACAAGATCTCCATCCTCAAAAATCAAGTGATGTTCTCTGGGTGCTAGAGGTCTCCAAGGAACTGTATTGGAATCTTCCAAGAGGCCAGAGTTAGTATCGAAAAGTGAGTGGGAGAATGTCAAAAATAAAAACTTCCCAAATAAAGTCATCTTGCCCTTCAAACGCTTCTTCCCCTCCTCCGTCCAGCCCTGGTCCCCCCCTTTCTGTCCTCCCAACAGTGCTCTTCATGGGCTGGGACCAACTGTCACCATGTCAGGGAGGTGCCAGGGACAGGAAGCCAAGTCCCACCTCCCTAGATGCCCTGCCCATCCGTGAGTCCCAGAAAGTTTCAAAAAAAAAAAAAAAACCCTGGCATCCCCTGGGGGCAGAGTCCTAGCCTGAGCTTTGGACAGGCAGTCACACCAGTGGTGGCAGGACAGAGGTTTCTGTCACTGCCCAGTCCTTCTGGAACAATCCCAACCTTCCAGATCCTTCACAGATAAACAATGTCTCACAGGTGAGGCACATTTGCCAGATGTGTTTGAACGTTGCCATCCCTCTCTAAATCATTCTCAGATCTACCACCCAGGAAATGTGACCAGCCTGAGTCATGCATTACAAAGTGGAGAGGAGGGCCCAAAAGAAGTTCTCTCACCGCACAGCTGGGCCCTTTGTCCTGTGCAGGGGGCCAGTGCAGGTTTTCAGGGAGCCCGTGCCCTGCAGTCATATTCCGCTGCAAACTTCACCCCGCTTAGGTCCACTAGCCCACCCTTCACGTCAGAGAACTTACTACCGCTGGTCTTGGGTCTGTCCTTGGGGCTCCACTGGTATGGGGCAAGGACATCTGAAGACAAATGTCTGCATGGTTAATAGCAATCAAAGGCTTAGTCTGAGCATGGTTCTCACGTTGGAGTTTTATCTGTGGTGCCATGCACAGAGCCAGCAGATCCCGTAAATACAAGCTGGCCTGGAACTTTCTCCTAGCCAATACCCGCCCATCTGGGACACTCCCTCCCCAGCAGGAAACCCTCCCCCCCCCCAATTTGATTTTCCTGGAGCCGACACCCCTCTGCCTTGTCCTGAGATATATGTCCCTATGTCCTGTGGCTACTGGAGGGACACACTCTTCCCTGCAAGCTTAAGGACACATATACTGAAATGTGCAGTCAGAGCATCTGGCTTGGAGTTGTAGCCTTGCCACTTCTATGAGCCTTGTCAGTCCACCAAATGGGGATGCTCTGGCCACCCCTGCTCAGCACAGAGAATGAGTGTGTGGTGGGAAGTAGCATCTTCATCCGCACAGTGCTGCACTCAACATAGGGCTAAGAGCTCCCATTGTGGTTTGGGCCCCAGCAGAGCAAAGGCCAGGTGACTTGAGGCAGGACCCCTTGCTGGGGCGACTGGCCTTTTTGGGTGGGAAACGTATCTTCCCAGGGAGAAAAGATAGCCCTGGAATAAGGACAAGCCAGCACAGGACACAGGGTAAAAACTGCACTTTCAGGGTACATCAGAAGGCAGATGCTGGGGGGAGTCATACCCTTGTCCTAACTGGGAAGAGTGAGCTCCAGGGCCAGGCCTGTGGGCTGCTCTGCAGCCATCCACATCCCACAGCTCTGATCAGCTTAAGGTTTTCTCTTGAAAGCAGGACACCTCGGGAAGTCAGGATGGGAGGAGAGCCTACTAGGACATTAAGCAGAGATGTGGCAACACAGGGCTACTGGTTCATTAAGCATCTAACTGGGAAAGGAGACACCTGCAGTACAGGTATCTAGGGAAAGACTAGATACCAAAGCAGTTGATGTCAGCCCAGCCAGTCTTCCCCAGGCTGATGTCCCATCAGTGTCAGGCACTTGGGGGCCTTGGGGACTTGAGAGCTTGGTGTTTAGTATGGAAATCAGGAAACTTGGGCCCAGAGAAATGACTGGCTCTAGATCACACAGTAAATCATGAAGACAAGGTCCTGGTTGTATCCATGTTCCCTGGGCTCCACTCCCTTCCTGTACCATCCCTCCCTCCCCCAGCCTCTGCCTCCCCTGGAGGCCTCTTCCCAACATCGAGTTCACGTTGTAATCCCTGGTGGGGGTGGCTTTGCTCCAGAGCTGCTCACCAGGAGATGCCATCCTGGGCCACCAGCACTCGCCATGATGGCAGACACCCCTGGATCTTCTGCTGACACCCTCAAGGGACCCTGTCTTGGGGACCAGACCTGAGGAGTGGCCTTATCTCCATGGGAGAAACACATAACAGGAGCAGGTGCTGAGCACGAGCAGCTCCAAGCTCCCGCAGGGCTTAGCCACCTTCCATCCCTGGGGGCCTGGTCACAATGTCAGCTGTTCATAAAACCAGTCAGCAAGCAAGTTCTTCATGCCAAGCAAGCCCAAGCACTTACTTTATATCACATTTTCCTTTTTATGCGTGTGTGTGTGTGTGTGTGTGTGTGTCATGCTAATCTTTGGTAATTCTGTCAGAAGACTTCAGGACATGTCCCCAGGATGCTTAAGTAAAAGACCATGTAGATCTTATTTAGAAATATTCCCATATGCAAATTAGAACTCATGTTCATCAAAGAAAAAACAGTAATTAACTCCATGTAAACCAAGAGGATGCCACAGAATGCAAGTTTGCTGAGACTCCAGGATCTGTTTTTAGAACTTTATTGTTAGAGGAGGACCAAGATACACTGAGATTAATAGTTGTTCCAACAATGCCTGAGGCTCAGGCTAGGGTTACTGTAGTACAGGACCTTACAAGGAATTTACTGTGCACACAATGGGGAGCCAGGGACGGTTCACGAGCACAAGAACGACTTGAATTACTCAGGATTGGACCAGGTTTTGCAGGGCCTTGAGAGTTATGCGACCTCATTTCTCAGGCATGGCAGGGTCCCCTCCAGTCGCAGGATGGGGTCTGTGCCCCCTGCACTTTCGCACTACAGTGCCTCTGCCCGTTCTGTGCCTCTCCCTAAAATAGCACCCACCTGCTCCACCAAACCCACTCTCAAAGATTTCCCAAAGCCAGTTCCTCAACCAGACTCCATCGCTTTCCTTCCAGAGTTCAATTTCCAGTCAAATGCCCCGGGAGTCACCTTGGACTCGGGCCTTGCTTTTCTGAGAAATGCAAACATGTCTGAGCACACGAGCACAGCGCTTGGCACAGAATAGGTGCCGGTCAATGCCATCACTTCTAGTTCTCATAGGCACCCTAACCAGTAGGGGCTATTTACAATCTCTCCGACTTAAAGGTGGAGCGGTGAGGTTGAGAGGCGAAAAACCACTACCCACCTGTGCATGGCAGAGGCTGGTCCCAGATGTGTGAGATGTCATGGCCTCAGCAGCTTCCAAGTTCCACCACGCTGTTCTATGGGGGGCAAGAGTCATCTGCTCTTGCCTCTCTCTCAGGACCCTAAAGCCGAGAGGTGGGCAGGTGCAGGGCCACGGAGGCCCAGGCATCCTGTGTCACTGTGAGTGTCCCCACACCTTGCAGTCTCCACCAGAAGTACTGCCACAAGAAAAAGGTGTGTAACAAGTCCCCTGGTGACGTTCTCATCGTAGGGTCCATCCACTCCAGGGTGAAACGTCAGGAGCATGCTCCTGGAGTCTGAAGATGGACCAATCACACCAGCCTTATGGGAAACGCCCAGCCTGGGCAGCTCCCAGCCCTCTTGTGCATGGCACACTCGACCCTGCCAGGAGAGTGCCGTTGAATAGCCAACGGACAGTGGCAGGTTTTCATCACAGATTCCGATCAGTTTCCAGGGACACACCAAATGCCTGCATTGAATGACCCTGTTTCCACTCTGGCAAGTTCAGATGCGCCTTAATTATGGTGGTGCATAGCCCTTTGGGCAAGATGCTTAGACATCTGACTGCCTTTATTCTTGTGACTGTCCTCCCCTCTGGGGTGGCTGCCCTACACTTACTGCCACTACGGCCAGGGCCATAGAAGGTTTGGCCCCTGGTATACTCACCCATGATAGAAACAAGGACCACAGCAGCCCAGAGGAGGATGTCACTGAGTCTATCAGGGCAAAAGAGTCAGAGGCAGAAAGGAGGCGTGAGATGCTCTGTCCATACCTCCAAGCTGGGCAGCAACAGGGAAACCTTCCAGGTAACGGGAATAGCATGGACAAAGGTAGAGGTGGGAACCCACGTGGACAACTTTCCTGATCAAAGTGAAAGTTTCCTTAGCTACTATAGGTAGGCTGCTTCCTGTTACCAGAACTAACAAGACAAGAACTGACAAGACTATGCTATAGAACTTGTCAGCGCAAATAGCTCAAGGACAGATGTCACAAATTTTAGCCCTTAATGGCCAAGAGTACTGCCATAACAATAGATTACATTATGATTACCTACAAGGAAGGGCTTGGTAATCCTTACCACCTACCGGATGCCAAAATACCTCAACTTCTTTGCAGAGACCCTTACAACAAGCATTTTTCTCTGTGCTTCATGTCTATTTATAGCTGGACCATCCCCACCAATGTTCAGGGGAAAGTACTGATGCTCGCCCAGCACAGAAGAGGTCCACGTGAGAAGTCAAATCCCGAAGCCTTGCCCGGCTTTGGCAGTGAGAGCCAACATCCATGGACGCCTCTCTTGAATCTGCAGTTACTTCTCCTAACGGAGGAAAACAACATTTATTATGACTTATTTATCCACCATGAAAGCAGTAACCACAGAAATCCCCAGAGAGCCAAACATCAATGTATAAATTATGGCTACATAACATAAGCTATGTTTTTTTCTTGCCAAAAATTCCTTAACCTGAGGAGACAAGTAGACAGCCGATCCTGGGGTGTTCTCCAAGACACAAGCCTGGGTTCTCAAAGCATCATTGTGAAAGACAAGGGTGCCAGGGGTGTCCTGGGTGGGGAGTCTGGGACGAGGAGACAAACAAGCACGGGACATGATCCTGGGCTGCATCTTAAACTCATGAAAGAGCCCTGGAGGATGATTTTGGAACAATTGGGGGATTTATTCGATAATATTATTATATGTATGCTAAATTTCTTAGGTGTGACAATGGCACTACCTCATTGGAGAATATTCTCATTCATGGCAGATAGATAATTCTTTCTTTGATCGAACCACCTAAAAAGTTGCAGAAATTACACTTTATCCTCCAAATTTTAGCGTGGTTGTAGGCAGGGAGAGAAGACACTAAGGAAAAGTGGTGTCATCTGGAAGCTTGAGGGTATGAATGACAGGTTAGAGAAGCTCATCAGACTCTTCTTCTAACATTTTTCTGTAACTCTGGAATTCTCAAGGTCTGAGGGAATCATGGCCATAGACTTGTTTTCCTGAATCGGTAGCCTCTATCAGGGTGTGGTCAAGGAAGAACCACATAGCAGGGGTTCTCGCTTCCACGAGCCCAGGAGGCAACGGGCCTGGCCACATGCCAACCATCATCCTCTCTGCCATTGCTTGTTTCTCTCCATCTTCCCAGCTCCCTGTTCCCTGCCACACTGATGACTTTGGCTTGCTTTTTGATGGCTCAGCCTTCAAATGTGCCCAGTGGTCAGGAACATCCAGGCCAAATGTCTTTTGGGGGCAAATTCACACTGTACCAAGTGCCCATGCATCTTGCCCACTGCCCCATTGTGCTGATGAAGAAGCAACAGAGGCCCTGGGAGTCAAATGACCACCAGGAGCTCAGCAGAGCAAGACAGGACAACAAGGGCCCTGCCCTGCCCCCGCTTCCTCACTTAGGATGCTTCTGGGGTCCCCATGCAGACCACAACTCCGGAGGAAGAAGCACACTTTAGATCCCCAGGCAGCTGGCCTGCACGGGGCAGGCCCCAAGTCTCAGCACTTTGAAGACAGTGTTTCACCAGGGACAGCATCTATCGCACTGATAGGATGGACACATTCCAGCACACACCTCCCACCTCACTCGGAGGCCCTTAGTAGATATCTTAGTTAGGACCTATTTTAAAAAGAATGTTTCAAAAAGAAATGTGGCCATAAACCTCAATGATGCGTGGTTTTCCTTCCTTGACCATCATCTCTTCCTACCTCCCTCTCTCACCCAATGCGCACACAGGCCTCTAAACTGTTCCCTCCAGCTTCCAGGTGCAAGTGATTGTCATTTGAGAATTGGACCCATAATATTTTCAGACATGGATGGGGCAGAGAAAAATGGCCTGCTTAGGCTTATCTGTGGGCTTCTTAGTTACTGTCAAGATGTTCTCTTCATCAAGGCCTATGTGCAGAGAACAAGATGATGAGCCGAGATTAATCAATCTTCCCCCTTTTTAAGGGTGGGATTTTAATGAGCACATCCCAAGGAGGCTCTTCAGGTAATGATTCATTTGCTTTCTCTCCTGAAAAGATTATGGACCCAGTGTGGACTCCTGGTCTGCAAAAGACCTGCTGTGGTCGTGCCCGAATTCAGACATTCCCCTCCCAATCGGCCATGCACGGTGGGAACACAAAGATGCCTCAGAGAGCAAGCTTAAATTCAGAGCACCAGGTAGCTTGCTGTGTTTAAGGGACCACTGCTTTGGTTTCAAGATGGAGTGGTGCAGGCAGAAAGAGCAGATCTGATCCAGCTCTGGAGATGACTAGGTATTTTAAAACCCAGAAGGATACTTGGTTCACTCCAAGGTAAGAAAAGGAGAAAGTCCAACAAGCCAAGATAGCACCTTCCACCCTGTATGGGTGTGATGAAGACTAAAGTGGGATGGTCTCCAAACATTGAGCCCAGGGATCTTAGGGATAATCAGTGCCACTGACCACCTTCCTTCTGTCTCTGATAGATGAAGATTGAGAGACCTTAGATGAAAAGAGATCAAGTGAGAGTCAGAAATCTAAGTATCAAGGCATGTTGAGTTTTAGGGACTAGCTGGTGGGCCAACCTCCCTGATTCTGGTGGAATATGTGGCTCTAAGCTCATTCTAACAGAGGCTGAATCTAAACAATCTGGTGTGATGTCATCTTCCTTGCTGAGTGGGCATGGTTAACTAGAGGAAAGGTATGAGAATCACCTGGCTGAAAGAAACCACCAGATGCAAAAGGGAGGAGTAGAGACTTGAGCCTGAGACACTGAAAGGTCCAGTGACAAGGGATCTTTGGTGATTGCTGTTTACAGCCTTATAAAGCATCCTGGAAAATGGGAGAAAGGGAAACCCATGAGAAGAGCTAGATTCTGGCTGTGAGGCCGTAGGCAAGTGTTCACCCTCTGGACCTCAATTTCCTTCTCTGAAAATGAGGGAGTTCAGTGAGATGACTCAGATCCTCAAATCCAGGAGAAAGCTTAGTCTGAGTTATTGAGTGGTAGAGATGTCAGCAGAAATCTTTTATCAAGAGGGAAGACCCCTGGAGACCCTTAACTTGGTCCCTGCCCCAAGAGATTGGATGTGCCTAGAGAACTCATTGGCTGGGGACCATGGTAGGCAACAATCTGAGAAGATGACCATCACAAGGGAAGAAAGCCAAGATTCACTCCCTGCCCTAAACACTGAGCATAAATAAGGATGTTTAGCTGTGGAAGAGAGACTGAGTGGTCTTCCTTTTGGGAGCTGAACTGGTAGCATGGAGCAGAAGGTAAGAGGGAAATAGAACCCAGACCAATTGTAAGTTACCTCAGATACTTAAGTCAGTGGTCACCCCATGAGAAGACTTCATCCTATATTCCTTAATTTTTTTTAAAAGTCAACTCAGTGAAAATAGAGCATTTTTCTGTATTTCCCTGGGAAGAGAGGAGATCCTTGTTACTTGAACCATTCAAGCAGATATACGAACCCCGCATGACCACTGTGCACAGATACTTCAGTGGGGCAACCAGCTGTGTGTGAAGGGCTGAGCCAGTGTCCCTCTGCCTCCCCCCACGAGCCTGGCACATGCCCCTGTGCGCTGGAGACAGCTCCTCAGGCCCTTCTGAGGTCCAGGCTGAGACTGTCTCTCAGTTTTGTCAAAGGCCAGACATTTGTGACATTGAACAGATCACTCATCTTCAGTGTCATTTACATATCAGATTATCACCCCCACCCCCCATTTGAGGGTACATCTTACAAAGGCTTTCATGAGAACCCCCACGTTTATCCCAGGCAGCCTCCTCCAAAGCATAGAGCACTTGGCAAATGCAACAATCTCTTCCAAGAGAAAAACAAATTAAAAACAACTGCTTCTATTCTCTGGACACACTTCAGGGCCCTAAATAGTGCATTCCACAAAACAAAAATCTTAAAATGAATAAATTGATAAAGACCTTTAAGGTGGAGAACTGTCAACTTTGGCCTAGAGAATCTGAGGTTCGCAGACTCCTTCGAAGGCCCTGTGGTCTAGACGAAGGGGAAATTTCAACAAGGGATGTAGCATTAAAGTACATGCACAGCCTTTTCAGAGGAGTCTTGAGTGCTCCTGCGTTTCGGCCCAGTGGCCCAAATATCGTTCGGGTGCTGTCTCAAAGAAATCCTGTAGGTCTACTCTTTCTAGGGAGCAAAGCCTCCTTTCTGGGAGATCTCGCTGGGGCCTTGAGACAGGCCCGTGAACGTGCTCCTTCTGAGTAGTTACAGCCAAGTCCATTTCCATCCAAGAGCCATGAACTTCCAGTTTACGGGAAAAGGGAGTGGAAGGATGGGTGAATGGGTGATTTTTAGAAATGGCAGAGATGGTAATGAGGGAAATTAAAGTCCCCTCTGGGAATTGGGAGGTCAAACTGTCCTCTATTCCTACCAACCTAGGGGCCTCCCATGTACTATATTCTACAGTCTAAACTGCCCCTCAAGAGGTTAGCAGCTCTTCCCTTTGGGATGATTCCCCTATTCAGAATGGGGAAGAATTTCTACACTGCTCAAAATTGTCCCCTGAGATTGGCTAGTTCCCAATAGGCCAAGCCACAAATCCTTGCCTCTAAACTCTTCCTGAGACCAACATGAGCTTATTTACAAATTAAATGCAAGTAGAGACAATCTTTCTTAGAATATATATTTTAACGAGGAATACCCTGTCACTTTTCATTAGGACAATAACAAACCACATCCACAATAATAGACACTCTCTTCCAAGCATTCCAAAACTAATTCTTATTCATGCAGGTAGATGCTGCACAGAATCACTAGGAGGGAAATAGATACTGTGGTTCCAACAATTTTCCAGTTTCCCTAAGAATTCCAGTTTCACGGTAAATTGTTGGAAGTGGTGGAAGTAGAGATGATAAAATTAAAAATGTCTCTAATAAATTAACATAATTGGCTTTGATTATTCCATTGCTAGTTTTGTTTTCTTGTGTTAATAATGCATATCAGTTTAAAAATTTTTTTAAAGCAGGTACTTTGTTAAACTGGCAAGCTAAAATGATCCAGGTTGTCTTGCCTGCCCACCCCCTAAAAAAATGTTATTCATATTTTTAAATGCTAGTTTCTAAATTATATTTTGACCCTATCTTGGATAAAGACTGCTTGTAAAACATGCTTTATTTGGCACGATGGTAAATCAAAAACCTCATGGGTTTTTTGTTTTGAAGCAGCCTATGGCAAAATTGTTCTGGGAAAAATACCTGATAACTTCCCATTTTTGTCAGATTACACACACAAACACACATTCACACTATACAGTCACCCACTCCCTGGGGAGAAAGGAATCAGGTCACAAACCCCACTACAGGTAGGCAACCGAAGACTCTCAGCCTGGTGTGCAACTTTGGGTTGGGTCTCCTCTCAGCTGTCTCCGTGGTCTTGGTCTCACACCTGTCTTGGGAAGGCCACCCTGGAGATGGGGCAGGCTGGGGGAGAAATACAAGGCATACTCTGCCAGGAAGGGGGAAGAAATCCATGCTCAGATTCGAGTTTCAGAGGAGAATGGGCCTTTTATTTCCCCTTGGGCCTGTTCTGTCTGGGTAGAAAGGTGGAGAGAGAATGAGACCAAGAGACCAAGAAAGGAGAGAAAGTAATGATGACAATAATAATAAATAAATAAGAAAAGACGAGTTTGACCAATGGAACTTAATGTTAGCTATGAAGAATGACTTTCCTGTTTCCCTTCCATATTTAGATCGACCTCCGACGTCTCATCAGCCTGTGGTGGTCGGCAAAGCTCTGGAACCCGGGAGAGACAGAGCTCAGAGGGGACGGAAAGAAGCTGTGTTTTAAAGCGCTCGGTGAGATTTCCTCGATCCTGGAAGAGATGGATGGGGGGGGCCTGAGCCTGGCACTGGCACTGGCACTGGTACTGGCGGCTTCCTGCTCGGCCTCTGCCTCGGGGGGATCGGTACCGTCCTCCTGCGGGCGGTAGCACGTGCAGGTGCACACAGACAGCAGATCCGCGAAGGCCAGCCAGTACCTGCGCCGGGACGGCCGCCCCTCCTCCACGTCGTCGGCCGCGCCGCCCGAGTTTCCGGTCAGGGCGGCCCTCTCCTCTGCAAGGCGCTGCTCCTCCTCGCCGTTCATGGTCAAGAAGCGGAGGACCACCAGGTTGAGGAAGGCTCCGATAACGGTCAGCCCCACCAGTATATACATGAAGCTGAAGGCCACGTAGACCGGCTTCTTCTGCAGCGCGCCCCTGTTTTGCAGGGCCACGTAGTCGCCGAAGCCGATGGTCGTCAAGGTGATGAAGCAGTAGTAGTAGGCGTGGAAGAAGCTCCACTCTTCGCACTGGGAGAAGGCGGCTGCCCCGATGCACAGCGTGCCCATGCAGGAGAAGAAGCCCACGGTGACCATGTTTTCCATCGACACGTCGGTGTTGCGCAGGCCGCAGACCTTCTTGAGGCGCTTCAGCAGGTAGCGCACGAAGGTGTTCATGCGTTCGCCCAGGCTCTGGAACATGACCAGGGTCAGCGGGATGCCCAGCACAGCGTAGAACATGCAGAAGGCCTTGCCAGCGTCGGTACCAGGAGCAGCGTGTCCGTAACCTGGGGAGGGGCGAGAAGAACAGGAAGAAGAGTGAGGAGAATGCTGGGGGGGGGGCTGGGGTTCTCCTGGAAAGAGAACCAACTAAAGTCACATGAGGGTTGGGGCTGAAGGGGGTCAGAGCCGTTGGAGTAGAGAGCGCTGTAACCTGAGAGGAAGAAGAGTACAAGAGAGAACCGATAAAATATCACCTGGGATTGGGCATCAAGGAGTTTTGATGGCATTCCACGGTTGTCTTACAGTAACACAAAGTTTTAAAAAGAAAATATTCACTACTATAGAACCAAGCTCCAGGGAGAAAATCATTTATGCCCACCGTGGACTGACATTAAGAGTCAAAAGGATTCATCAGTGCCAGGCACACAGCAGTTAGAATTTTAATTTTTTTATGTATATCAACTCATTCTACCTTTATCACCCTATAAAGCAGACATCATGATTCCAGAAAACCGAACTAGTTAACAGCAGGTTTGATTTCTTCAGAGTTGTGATTTGAGCCCAGTTTTCAGCCACCAAGAATGGGGCTCAAAAGCAGAGACTTGGAATCAAGAGAGATTGTGACGGTGGAGGGAGATGTCAATCCTGCAAGGGCAGGAATTTCTGGCTGTTCTTATCACTACTGTATTCCCTGGACCTGGAAAATAAAATAATGAACAAATTTGTACCACTCTGTAGACTTGATAAAGAAGAAACAATCCTTTAGGACTACATGTAACATGTAAATATTTCTGAAACTCTTGATGTAATGTTTTTTGAGACAGTCTCACTCTGTCACCCTGGGTGGAGTGCAGTGGTGTCATCACAGCTCACTGCAACCTCCAATTCCTGAGCTCAAGCCATCCTCCTGCCTCAGCCTCCCAGAGTGCTGGGATTATAGACATAAGCCACCACGCCAGGCTGATGCGATGTCAAGCCTCTATTTCATCATATTCAAAATGAGGACTATGGAGGTGGAAAGGTTGAGTTACTTTCAGGGTCACCCAGGTGGTCAGGGATGATGTTGGAAGCAGGATAGTGTGGCAGAAAGAACACAGGATTCAGTAGGTTCAAGTTCTGGGACTAATACTGCCCAGAAAAAACCTGGATCATAGACAATATTTGGATGGAGAATTTAGAGGATGAGCCTTGTCTTCTAACACCTGAAATCCTGTCCCATCAAGAAAGGCTTCATGAATGTGACCCCAAACCACATGCTCATAACCAGCTGCATTTCCTTGGTCCCTAGACAACTTCTCCCAACCCAGGATTTTTATGTCATATACAATAGTAGCTCCCAGGTGGGGCTGTTGTGTGGATCTGCTGAGATCAGAGAACACCTAGCTTTGGGCTTGATCCACAGTGAGGACCTATGAAACCTTAAGACTTCCACACCTACCTGCAGAAAGCACCCCCTGACTGCTCCAGCCTACACTTCTCTGCCAGGGTTCAGTCTGCCTATGTCTTTCCCTTGGCATGAATATGTGCCAAGACCCCCTTGCCCCATCTCTCACGAGAGAAGTGACATCACACGTTTGCCTGTGGAAGGTGGTCTCCTCACCCACTCTGGCCCCTCAAAAACCCCTTAGTCCTTCCAAGAGGAGAAATGACAACACTGGAGTCAGGCCAGGAAGGATAAGGAGATATTTTGTGCTCCCTTTCCTGTGGATGAAAATCCAATCTGAAACCAAGGACTGCATGTTCTCACTTATAAGTTGGATCTATGCATGGTCATACAAAGTGACTTAATGGTGATTGAGAGTGGGGAGAGGGGATATTGGATAAAAAAAAATTACCTATTGAGTACAATATATACTATTCAGGTAATGAGTATATTTAAAGCCTTGACTTCTCCACTATGCAATTCATCCATGCAACAAAAAGCCACTTGTATCCCCTAAATCGAATTAAGTAAAAAAAGACTATCCAATCTGAAGAACAAAGCCGTGGGGATATATAAGACAATATCAAAAGGTGTCCCATAAGGAAAGGAGAAAGCAAATGAGACAAGAAAATAGAAGAAATGATGGCTAAAATTAACAAAATTTGGTGAAAGACACAAATTTACAGATTCAAGAAGCTTAGAATGGCAAACACAAAACTACAGCCCACAGTCTAACTGCTGAAAGCACCCAGACAGAAACATGTCACATACAGGGAACAACAACACTGCTGACTTCTAATCCTAAACTATAGAGGCCAGGAAACAGTGGGATCATATCTTTGAAAAGCTAAAAGAATGGTAACCTAGAATTCCAGATCCAGAGAAAACATCAGGAATGAAAACAAAGACATTTTCATGTTAAATAAAACTAAGAATTCATTACCAGCAGACCTGTACAACACCATTACTGAAGTTCTGCCTGGGGGCAAGGCTACCAGATGGAAACTGGGGTCTTCAGCAAAGAGCATGTACACTGGCAGGGTAAATACAAAAGACGCAGGCGTGGGACTCCCACTACATCACTATATAGCTCACCCGTGGAACTGATACAAAAGCCAGATGGATGTTAGAAGATAACAGTAGATTGGTGGAAACGTAATAGTAGTGCTGACAGTTCTAGATATATTTACTGGAGGAAAAAAGCATTTTCTAGGTCAAAAACTGTACACCAGGTGGCAGGTCCTCCCTATCCCTGCCAGTAAAGAGGATCAGAAGCAGTTTGTCTTCGTGTGACCTGGACAGCAGTACATATCTCAAGGTTATGTCAATTCTGTCTATCATACTTCAGAATGAAAGAACTTGGTCATTTTGACATCCCACAGTATATCCCACTGGTTCACTGCATAGATGACATTCTTTAGTAAGACACATGCATGAGAGAGAATGGGAAATGAATACCACCAAAGTTCAGGGGCCTTCCCATTAATCTCCTAGGGGCCCGGTGTTCTGTGCAACAGGACTGTTCCCCCTAAGAGCGGAGAGAGAGATCGCAGAACCTGCAATGCCCTTCAGGAAAAAGAAGGCTATGCAGGGTCCCTCTGGATGCACCCCCCCCTACTCTCTAGCCTGGGAGGCTGTCCTACGTGAGCTACAGCAGGTGGCCCTCTGGTTTCCAGTCGGGTCCATCCAGTAGACAGCCCCAACGGATCAGAGGAAGACAAGAACCTTGGTGGAGCTGCCTGCAGGCTTGCCACACACAGCTGCTCTCTGCATGTCCCAGGAACCATGCATGCCCTTGGCATGTCGATGGCTTTCCACTGGTGCAGTCCAGTCCCAGGAGACCACCACCCACCTCTTGTAGCTTTCCCTCAACTCTGACCACACTTTCCAAAATATTTTATAAATAGCCCATTTGTTGATTGCTCAGTGTACGAGTGCAGTTTCTTGGGCTTCTCCATGAGCTGTGGCAGCCATCAGGGCCAAGTGTTGGGCGAGGGGTGGTCAAGCTGTCTCCCTCAGCTGCCCAGGGGCAGACTGCCCAACACAGGGAAGGGGAAGGCCATGCATGTACTTGGGCATCTAAATTTGCTGCCAGAAAACAGTGAAATATTTATAAAGGACATGCAAGGTTTTGTCCTGGCAGGAATTAAAATAGGCGCAAATCTCATCAAAGCATGATGCAGGTGGCTCTGAGAAGGGCACGCTGGAGACAGGAGCTGCCTGACCCCTGTGCCCCCTGGCTGGCACCCAGCTGAATCCTGCAGCAACCATCCCACTCAACCTCCCATGAGCACCGGTCCTGCTCAAGCCCTCAAATGAGCTCGGAATGATAAAGGCCCACGTGGCTACAAACACCAGAAGGAAAGTGATTCATAGGCCCCATAGATGGGAGAGTTTGGGCAGAAGGGACTTTTAGGGGCTCCAGGTCAGGAAATCAGCAGGTCCCAAGGTCTGAATCCAGCTCTGTCTCCCACTTACCAACCATAACCTTGGGCAAGCCACCTTAGATTCTCTAAGTCTTGACTGTTTCTATAAATACGAAATGAAGCAGTCTCTTCCAGTTATACGGCACTTTACAGTTTACAAAACTCTCCTAGATTCATTGTTTCGTCAGTAAGGGAGACTAGTTGTTGTGGCTGCCCTGTGTCATCACCCCTTTTGAAGGACAACAGACTCCAATTTCTACTGGGTACCACCACACGGCCTAGGTCTCCCATTCAGTCTGAGAGGGGACTGTGCTTCCAATGGGCTCTGATTGAGTCACCAGCCAATGATGAACCAGGCAGGCTTTTGCCCTTTCCTGCCAGACTGGAGGGTACCAGGGTATGAGATCTGGAGCCACTGCAGTCATTTCCATACCATGAGGATGAGCCCAACCAGAGGACAACATCCCTGATCTCGGAGATGTGGAGCCATATGGAAGATGGTGACTTGTCCTAGAGTCAGCCCTACTCAGACATTCCTATCCGTCCCCCGATAAATCTTGTAGCCTCAGCCAGTGTTTTGATTGTGAGTGATTAGCATGCAACCTAGAGTATGTCCTAATACCTTAGCATGACTACAAATAATGAATAACAGCTTTGTTAACAAAGCACTGTGCAATTCACACTTCCCTACATCTCAGCTTATAGATCTGGCTGGGGGAGAGGGGCTGGGGTGGCGACCAGGGCTCTGGGCAGACAGTGGCCAGTAGGGAGCCAGTTCCTCTCACAGAGCAGCTGTTCCCCATCCCAGCACCCAGGATGAGGGCCAGGGTGACTCAATTTTCTGAGTTTTAAAGAGAAGCTGGAAATACAGAATTTTAAAATGTGCTATCTAATTAGTGTCTAATTAAACATTCTAAAACATGGCACAGGCCAAACAAAATTTGACAAAACAGACCATCTGTTTGTCAAAACAGAGGTCACACATGCTCCAGAAATGGTGAAAAGGAAGGAGAGAGAGAGTGGAGACATGGCGTGGGCAGGGAGTGGGACACCCACAAATGCTGTGGCCCCCGTCCTGGTCACACAGGCTTCTGGGCAGGGATCACCAGTTGGCTCCATGTCACAGGTGCGCAAAGGCAGGAAGGATGGCTTCACACAAGGGCCTCCCCCCAGGCTGAGGGAGGCCCTGCCCTGCACAGGGGGCCAGCGAACGCCA